CGTAAATCTTGCATCGGAATCTGAGGAATTTGGTGGAGCAAACGCCAAAGGTGAAAAAATTGCTCTCTGAATGGAGCTATCCAGTTTAAAATGATATAATTTACAGATATGGGTGCTCAAACCAAAGCTGGCGCACGGACACCGGGTATGTTGACGTTTCTGAAAGTTAGTGGCGCAGATAAAGTATAGTCCGTTACCTCTAAGATGGTCCTGTCAAAAGAAGACAAATGACGCGTCATTGACGTCACGTAATACGTTGATAAAGTGCTGATGACAAGGAGACTGTCCCACTCTCGCAACTCTAAAGCGAGCAAGAAGCGAGCTACAGCTGCTGAAAGTTCTAGTTCTAACGCCCGCTCAGTTGGACCGCCCACTTGCTAGATGTCCTCCGACGGAGTTGTTCTTTGTTGGGGCGGCGGGCATTAATCGGAATCGGCACTTTTCGCTGACCGCGCTCGTGCCCATAAGACTCTGCTCTCCTTTATTACATTTTATTCATTAGGAGCACATACAGTCAACTCCAACCCATCTTGCAAGGTAAAACGCGTAAAAATCACGAGCGACCCAATTTTCGTGGTGCAAAAGCTCGACGCACCACACTACACTAAAAGATGCACGCTACCGTAACCCTAAATTCGGACGCCGAGTTTTTGAAAGTTTCTTTTCCTTTTCAAGAGTTTTTCTTCCGTGTTTTTGTTGTTTTTCGTATTCTTTTCATTGCATTGGATGATATCCACTACTGGGAGATGTGATAAAGGATTTGTGAGCCAGGGGTTGCACAGAGACCGCAGGAAGGTGTGACTGCCAGGGAGCGATTTTGTTTATAGTGTTCTTGAGGACTCTTCTTGCTTTTTTTTCTTCTTTGGGGAATTACTTATCAGCTACTCGAAAGCAACTATCCATGACACTTTTATCGCGGGAGCTGTCATTAACGAGCTACCTGACGTCAATGACGCGTCAACTATCCTTTGAGGTGACATACCGCAGAGCTGCTTATCAGAGGAAAACTGAAAGATAGATCATTTCATGGCAATGATTCATTGTGAGCATAAAATGAACGGACAACAAAAAGGAAAAAAGGAGAAAAATCCACTATCCTTAAAATCAGCTTATGCGTGAAGAAGACAGTCGAAATGGCGGCCTAACTAGCACGCACGGTCAAAAATCGAATTGACTATCGACGAGTTGGTCAAGAGCCTTGCGAAGGGTTCTTTCGATTTCTGGTACTATTCGATTGAGCCGTGCCATATTCGACTGAGCCGCCCATTATGCTCAGAATGCCGGATATGCTGCGACCCGCGCACTAGCAAGTCAGCAGCCACGTCCCTCCCAGCCGTGTGATATAGACCGTGACCATTACAAACATTTTTACAACTATGGCAGAAAATCAGAGAGGAAAGGCAGAAAGGCTAACTTCTTGAAGGAACCTCAAGTTTGAGAAATAGCCAAAAGATTCGCTTACGGTAAAGACCCATTCCACTGTAACCAACCATCCGTCACGATGGGTATTTTATAGGCCCGTTTCTTCTCCACCCCTAGGGGATGCGCACAAGCGGAGAAGGCACAATGGTTTTCTGTCCATCGGGTTGTGGACAGGACAATCTCACTACGCCTCGTTGTCGCGCGCGACGTATCGTGTAGCAAAGCGATTGTCCGCTTGACGATTGGCAGCGGAATTCGCATGAATTGAAGCGAAGATAGAGATCCTTACCGACCACATTGAATTTTTCCTTTTGACGTTGAAAGTCAAACGAGCAGGTAGAACAACTCGTCTGTCGTGCACGACATGCACGCCCACCAGCGCGCCATATTACTTTTTTGCCCTTAATTAACCTGTTACGCGCAACGACGAACATCTCCCCTCCCCTTATAAAGGGGCATAGGCTGCCAATTGTGAAGGAATCTTATACTTCTGTAAGGTATCCTCGTTGTTTTTCTCCGAGATAGTTTTAGTTATTTCTATAGAATTTAGGTATTATGCATTACTTCTTTCAGGTAATCAGAAGTCAAGACCTTTTAGCAGGGAGTCCATGCAGAAGACAACCTCATCTGGTACCAAGGAAGGCAATCAGGTTAGGGTTCCTGATTGTCCCAGGATAGCTGCCCACTGTCGTGCAGCATTAGTTGCGATACAACAAGAACACCGCACTCTGCATCTCTGTTGCAGGGTCAGAGCGCAGATAGGTGAAGGACAGTAGATAAAACATCCACTTGGAGGCGTGGCAACGGTTCGGGGGGAGTTACCAGCGCGTATTTCGTGTCGCGTCTTTTGTTGATCATAAGACACATTTCCTAGTTTTCTTCCACATTTTCTAGTCTTCACTACACTCCATATCCTGAAGGTGAGGTGAGCGCGTCCGCGTACTTTACATTGAATGTCACGATGCGTTTCTTTTTTGCGGGATATTTTCCATTTGCGACACTGTCACGCTGTGTTGTGTTGAACAAATACATGACTACGATTGTGCCATTATGACAATAGCTCACCGAAAGCGCCACCACTGTCACTTTCAAGGGCGCGTCTCCGGGATATGAAAGTGTTAGTCACGCCCTCTTCGTCTCCGGGATATGAAAGTGTTAAGCGCACGCACACTACCTATATTACCCACCGTCTTAAACAAGTAGGTGGAGCATGACTCGGCGGGCAGCTTCTAAGGGGATAGCACGTACGACGAGGGGTGGGGCTTCTCCAAGAGAGGCGGAGTGCACGCTGAATAACAATTTTGATTCTGAGTAGGTCGAGTCGAACTATTTAGGGTAAGATTAGCCGTAAACAGTAGCTGATGTGAAAGTTCATAGGAACTATGAGCCATATGGTTCACTGGTCGATCTATATCATCAATCTTTCACGAGCTCTCCGGCCTAGAGGGGGAGGGCACCGAGCGATTCTCGGCTAGCTTTGTATAGATTACCTTGTGGAGACCCATAAACTCCTGTAACTAATGTGACTCACCTGTATCCCTTCCGCAGCTTCATGGGAGATTACAGGTTTAAACTTGGCGAAACCTGTTATTTTTTATGCGCTAACAAAACGAATTAGCGGAAGTGCAAAATGCTCCCTCCAAGCCGAACACCGCTATTTTTGTGCCCTAGGAGTTGTTCATCTTCTGAAGTCAACTATGTGCATTCTAGGGATGCATTCTTTGCTTCATAATCGTTCTACTTCTCATGTTAGTGGCTACATCGTCATTGACAGTCGTAGTCATTCTACATTGGAGAGGTACGGTCAAATGGTTCCCAACGCTGAACAATATTCTCTACGAATGAATCCGCCACCGTTCGATGACGAGACGACGACAACGAAAAATCCTCCGAATTTGAAAGATTTGTGTAATTAACCTTCCCAGTTTACTCTCAGAAACTCTATCTTCTTTCAAATTTGCTATGCTGCAAATTTATCGTGAAAAAAAGATATTAATATTATGGATTTGTTTATTGATACAATTAATAAGCTTACGACATCAGTTGACTCGCCAAGTAACTTTCAAAATAGTCAAGGCCTGATAATTAAGGACCGAAACTGAGGATGAGCGTCGAGATTTTCGAGACTCAAAGACACAGCTCTACGATAGTAAGCGCCGCCGCGAAACGTGGGCGGAGAACCCTATGTCTCCTTCAGGGGCGCACACCACTCCCCCCCCCGACTAGTTTCTTCTTCATGAGGCGCTCCAGTGTGGGAAAGGCCAATGATAAAGTGTCTCCGCCCCTCCAAGCTAGTGTGATTCCGCCTTTGAGCGACGTTCTTTCACATTCAAGGCGATTCGGTCCGAATCACGGATCTTTGCCAAGGTTTCCATAAAAGTCCTGGAGGGAGAAGGAGACCAGAGCGGTCCGGCGCTCCCTACGAGACCTGCGAAATTTCGACACTCTTGTCACTCTACCTTGACAGATAACGCTGTGAAATTTCCCCAAATGCTGCCGCCCCCCCACCTTCCGCCGCTCCAGAACCGATCGTGTCAATAGGATCGCACCAATGATACCACCTAGGATGATGGTGTCTCTTTTGTATAGGCAGTTTCCCATCGAGAAGTTTGAACACTTTCTGTCCTCATGATGTAAATTCGAGCGTATCACCAAGAATGCTTGAGTTATGGCCAACAGGTCGCGACCACCGGACGGAGTCGAACCCGCAATCTTTCTGCTTCCGTGCAGCTGCGTTCCCTATTACGCTACCGGGGCCACTTTTGACCACTCAGCTCAATGGCTATTTGTGCCATTGCCTTCGAGCACTCACACGTTCAACGTGATGAGCCGGTTAGTTTTACAAAGTTTCAAGCCTGTTTATTAGCGTCGAAGCAATAACAGGCTCGAAAACTTGATAAAGCCTTCAGCCTTGCGGTTCACTGCCGATATCGGCTAACCGGCTCATCACGTTGAACGTGTGAGTGCTCGAAGGCAATGGCACAAATAGCCATTGAGCTAAGTCGTGGTCAAAATGTGGCCCCGGTAGCGTAATAGGGAACGCAGCTGCACGGAAAGCAGAAGATGCGGGTTCGAATCCCGTCCGTGGTCCGACTTTTGCCCATAACTCAGCATTCTTGTGATAGCTTTCGGATCGCGCACTGCGGCGTTAAACAGCAGTTACTAAACAATAACAGCCTTGAATAATTCGATGTCATCTCCACCATAGTCGGTTTTCTTGTAGCTTTCAGAGTGTCCAGTTCAAAGACACATCCGTATGAATTCGTAGCTAGGGAGCCTCAAAATGATTCTGGAGACAAATAATGCAGTGCAACAAACGAGATAGACAAAACTCTGGTAGCCCTTGAAAGGCTCGAGCAGGAATGCGAGATATTCGATGAGCGAGAACCTGGCTTGTGTAAAATAAGAGAAAAGGGGGAGTTTGTAAGCAGAGACTATACAGGGAAGATGAGAGAAACCATCAGCGACACCAGAATGAACGCAATATATCCGGCACTTTATTGAAACCAAGAACCATCATAGCCGTACCCGTATGGTGAGAGCAACAGTCCTAAAGGATCGGACGAACTACGGTAATGACAACCGCAACGCCATCGTCACTAACTGTCGAGCCATGAAGGGGGACAACCTGATATTGGGGATCGGATTGATTGTGAGGCTCTAGCAGCCGGCTAATCGCAAAATGTGCCGTTCACACTGAGAAGCGAGATAACTGAGACTCCAGAGAAAGAGAGAACACGAAAAGAGGAATGAGACGCGCAGGACGGAGCGGCGTGGAAACGTACTGTTTTGAGGCGTGTGCTCGCGACATCCGTTTGCGTGGATAACTGCAACCCTTTCAGAAAAAGTATCGGCAAAAATTAGCATGTCGGCTGGTCAACTTTCCCCTTATCATTATGTGTTTTGTACATACTGAGCAAAACTACTGTACCCAGTCCTTTAGAAAATGAGGTACATTGTGCTAATGTCTCCATAAAAGACAGCGATAAAAGACAGAATGTCAATGACATCTAAATGCGCTACTTCGCCAAAGAATGGCGCTCTATTAGGTACACGACGATAAGGGGCAGCGCGGCTAGGCTTGCTCATCTGCTCCCGTCACCAAGTGATCATTTCCGTTCAGTCTCAAGGAACACCAGACGTTCAGGATCAGCGCGCCCTTGCTGCACGTGTTCCCCGCCCCCAACCAGCTGGTCTCAAAAGCTACCAAAATTAAATTTCTCACAAAAGTTGTTATTGGAATATACGCTCATCCCAAACATTTGTCATTCTATTCAGGTAATTACGCTCAAATGATCAGGTTAGCGAATCTTTCAATATGACTATGAAAAGAAGGCCTTCGAACAGACCAAAAACAACAAAAAGAAGAAATGCCCGAATATAAATATCACAGTGAACCACCCATCATAAATATAGAACAACAAAAATGCCTGAAGAAATTAGTCCAGCTGGAAATATCGATCGAATCTCGCATCTTTGCTGCTTTGTCTCATCACAACGCTTGAAAACGACATCACCACCTGATTTCACTCCTTCTACATCTAAGCACAGTCCTCGTTCTTTGTGCCGAAGAAAACCGCCCTGAATGACTTTCACACAGTGGTACAAGAAAATGACTGTTTTGAGGGAGTTTCGAGCTCGTGCTATGGCTCGTCGGCTGCTTTGGCGAGCCTCTGCCGTCTTTTTCAGCAAATAGTACGGACTATTAAGTCTCACCCTTAAAGGCAGTTGGCACGATAAACCCCCTAAGATGACTAGGACCAATACTCCTGGCAGGATAGAATTCCGCGCGACCGGCCAAGGCACTGCATGAGCGATTCCCTCGAGAAGGTGCCCTTATAAGGGCCCATCAAGCCAGCACTTTACCTTCCAAAAACGCCCTTCCAGACCCATATGTCATGCATCTGTGCCCACAGCAGACTATGAGCGAAAGGGACTGATATGAAGCGTCGCCGTGATGCGGCATGCATACATGGTACACATATTTGCGCGTTCCTTCGGTAGGCGCGTGGATTTGGCAAGATGCTTAACGGGAAACATCGCCTCCGAAATCGATTTACAAGTGGCACCTAAGAAAGGAGGCTTTCTTTTTTCTTTTCCCGAGGATTTTTGCACATTTCACTCCGTTCTTTCGCGCACTTTCCTCTCACTATTAGCGCCCTAGCCAGGCATTCTTACGCCCAGTAGAAAACACTCGAGCCAGCTGCCTTAGGCGCCAAACTAGCGAAACGCAACCCGAACCGAAAAACTCTTTCAAAATGCTGAAACTAAACCTCGGTGTGGTTCGAATCCGACGATGTTCTTTTCTGAGCAATCAACTAGTTGCGCATTGTATACACCAGAGCTGATGCTCTTCCCGATATCCACACAGGTCGCCTCTCCGGACGCGTGGCTGTTTTCGATACAATGAAAATCATATATCCTCGAAATTGTCAGTGCACGGAGTGAAACAATAAAAGAGCGCTAACTGACAAGTGGATGCCGCGAACGTCGCGCAAGCACGCCAGAGAAATCTCCGACTGCCCTCGCTAGAACTTAACGATCAGCAAGAAAAAGTAGACTGAAGCCGGCGAAGCCGAGCTCTAACAGCAGGCTTCCGTCGCAGCATGCTTATGACAGACGGAACAACAGCCGTGAGAGAAGTGCCCGAGCGAGAGCCCTCATAAAGACTCAGAATATGCTAATGAAGTGTCGAGATGCCGTACACGAAGGTCTCTCTGCCATCGCAAACGCTTATGATTTCCAACGTTCGTTGAAGAGACTCGCGGCACAGGCAAGGAGGTCGCTCTGCTAGCGTGCGGCCTGTCAATCGGCTCGACGGTGTACCATCAGATAGGCGATGACGTCTCGATCGGGTAATAGAACTTCTCCGGAATCACGTTGTCCAGGTACCATTTGAAAGATTTGCACTTGAGGCGCTCTCGCAGCTGCTTCCGTTCTGTTAGGTCACCTACGTCCAAATCCTTAAGACCTCAGTTCAAAAGAGAATACTTTTAAGCATGAGTGACAACCCCAATTGTAGGGCTACAAACGATGGAGCGATACGGTGTCCGTAGCGTAAGATTCATAGTAGTGGCCAGAAGCTGCACAGGTCAGAGTTTAAAAAATGACTATACTTGACGGCACGAAAAACAGAGGTGAAGTCATTTTTGAAAAAAAAATATAACGCAAGAAACATGGCAAATATCGCGCGGCTTGTTAACTCACCCCAAGGAGCGGTTAAAAAACTGAAAAATCACCTTGAGACCCAATCGATGAACGTAAAATAAGCCGCTTGTAGTCGTCCATCCACACTTCTGCCAGCCGTTTCGAATTCGTACCGTGTACGTCCTTGTTGTTGTTCCGACCTGAAAAATTAAAACAACTGAAAAAGTCGTTACTAGTAAGCAACCGTGTGTGTGTGTGGGGGGGGGGGCATGGGGAGACAGGACACGAAAAACTAGGTTCATAGACTCCGGTTGTTTGGCTCTCTCTAGGCTGGAAGGCTCGTTGGAAAGGGGAAAGGGTTTGCTCTCTTAGCGATAGGACGTAGACGAGGAGATTCTGCTAGAGTACTAGGAGGGGTCCACACCATCGAGATACGGCAACTACTGCAACTCTAGTTGTATGTGCTCTTTCCCTGAGGTAGCGATCGCTTCCTCCCCTGTCATGTCATATGCACCGGTCATTCGTGACCAGAAGAGCATGGATGGCTTTGGTCTAGTTTTACCGCCTGGTCCCCCCCCCCCCCCACGATGTAGCACCGTTTATCGTAACACAATAGATCACAAGTAATAACGGAATCTATGGCATCAACACGACGAATACCAAAATCTTAGCACCTGTCATGTCATAGGGATGTCCTGCACGGAAAATATGACCGACATGGGAGCATGGAATCAGTTCGATCGATCCTCCACACATCCAAACCTGAAAAAGTTCTGAGCATCCAGCTTGTTCTGCAGGGAATCAGCCATCCACTGCAAAAAAAATACAGTACACTGAACATACCCGGAAAGAGATTTCTAAATTCTCGCCTCCCCAGATATCCATTTCTTCGTCATATGCGCCAACTTCGAAGAAGAACTTGCGATCAACAGCAAACAATCCGCCAGCCATTGTGGGCGACCTGAGTCATAAGATATCAAGAAATGAACTTGTACTGGTGTTGCTGCAGCTCAGGGGAGGACGCGGAGCTACAACTAAAAAGTCCGTTCCGCTTCCCTGGTGCAGCATTCGCAAGAGCACAGGCGACCAGAGTATGCGCGTTCCTGACAGCAGAGAAAAGGACCTGGTCGAGCCGCTTTGTGGCCCCTCTCACCTATACCCTTGGATTGATGAAACTATCAAGACGAAAAATGCTTACCTCACATAGTCAGTCTCCGGATGCTTTCTTCGTTCAATTTCTCTCCTAGGCATTGAAGAAATACTATAGTGAAGTGACCACCAGAAGGTTCCAATTCCTATATTTAACCAAGGGAAGTATGAAAGAAGAAACTATTATTATACCAGTCCCACCTCCGTGTGATCCACCTAAATAGGCGAGATTTGTTTCGGAAATAGCATCGATGATGGGGCAGACAACTGCCGTCCGCTCCTCCTTAATACGTGCCAACAGCGGCTCGATCCTGAACTGGCAAGTGATCAAAACTCGTATCTAGCCGAGAAAAATTCTGCCCATTGCGAGGGCGCTATGGGCACC